CAGGACTACAAATCTGGACATGTGTGAGAAAAAGGCCTGGATAGGTAAATTGGATGAGTTTTGGTTATAGAGCTGGGCAACTTTAACCATCAAATCAACCATGTTTTGCTTTATAATTCTGAAAAGAAGGTTAACTGAAGGTTTATAAGGTTTAAGCACCACAAATCAAAACCTATTTAGTTCTATTCAGGCGAACGACTCGCCGTAAAACAGCTGATTTGTTTTTGTGCTTTGTTTTTTCCACGGGAAGCCAGAGGAGAAATAAGTTTTAGATGTTCCCCATGTTAAAACCAGTAGATGATTCATTCAGTATCATTGGCCCCTAACTCTGTAATAGCCTTCCAAATAAGATTATAAAATTTGACTCAGTCGATCTTTTTAGACTTTTTGCTTTTAAGGAGTTCATTGCTATCAAACCTATTTATTACTTTTAGTGGCTTTTCTACTTTAGCATCGTGTGATTTATCATCATTTTTCTGTTGTGTCTGCGTTTCCTCATTTTTTCCCCCAATATGAACTGTTATATACTTTTATTATTATTATTGCTATTAGATCAAATTGGGTAATATGTAATTTGGACCAGCAGATGACCACGCTTCTTACATTATCCAATTTAAAAATGAAAAAGCTTATTTCTGGGAAAACTGGTTTAAAAAATAATAAAAAATATGGCTCCCAAATCCAGCTTGCATGTTTTGATTCACAGAACACTTAATTTATATTCCCCATTCAGCTGTTTATAATGGCGACCACCTTTTGCAGCTACTGTACGCGTTGTTGATTACAGGTTAAGCCCTTTGTGCGAGACCTCATTGACATTACGTCTCTTTGTCTGAGCTTGTTATCTTTGTGCCCCACAGTTTGCTTAGCTCATTCCAAAACGCCACTGTATGTGTCTTTAGTTGCGAGCGTATTAGTCTCCATGGAAACTCATTTTCCCAATACTTCATTGGTGCCAAATGACCCTGTACTGTTACTTAGCTTCTTGCTGCTTTGTGTGGAAGTGTTTTCTTTTGGAGATTAAACGTTCGAAGGCAAATTGAGGTCCTGCTGGTTTTATCGCCGGGGTATTGAATAAGCATACGTGAAAAATACCAAAGCGCCGTACTGTACCACATCATTTGAAAACAGATTGATGTATTTCTCTGCTTCTGAAAGGGCAGAGGGATAACAACCTGTGCAACGGCCAGTCTTGGTCCTGCACGATTTTAGGCAGGAACAGGGTGGGGAAGCCTTACTGCTGTTTAATCCTATTTTCCAAAACGTTTGCCAGAAATATATCTATATAAATTAGCAATAAAAATACTTTTTCTTTAATTGGATATCCACATCGGGCTTCCTGTACCTTTTTCCGAGCCGAACAGTATTTGTTTCGGGATTCCCTCTTGAATATTTACACTCTTTCTCTCTGCAAAATGTCCTCAGATAATTGCTAGAAGGAAGCACCCAGGAAGGTCAGCCAAGAACCTCGCTGTAGGTGCCAAAGTGAAATCTACAGGACTACAATTACTTGGACAGACTGAGGCAGCAGAGCAAAGTGAATGACAGGTAGGAAATAATTCATACGAATCACCTGCTGTATTATGAATAACCACCTGCTGAGAGGACGTAGCACGGTCAGTTATCCTCAAAATTGGTTCTGAATAGCCCTTTTTGTCATTTGTTAGTAATTGCCTTATTCTCTTGATAATATAATGAAATTAACCTCCAAGAACATTCCCTCCTTATGGCATTTACGAGACAAGGTTGAAGTTGACATAGCAGCAGTCGCACAATTATATTTAGATTATTCAGCTGTTATTTGGCTTCGTCTTTTGATGTCGACACATTAGAGGAGCTCTTTTCACTGCCACTCATAGCTCGTAATCTTCACCAAAACATACAGTGTTGAATCCTGCACGAAGGGCATTCTTCAAGAAATTCAGGATCACTCACATCTCTCTTCTGTTTGGGGTACATCTGACCTTGTAGTGAATAGACATAAAAGGCTGTCAGTCAAACCGTCATGCCGTCTTTGTTTCCTTGTGTTTGTCATTCTCCAGAGGAGTCAAGCAGCTACTGACTAATCTAGTGATTCTATGCTTCTGGCAAAACGCTTCTACGTCCTTCTCTCTGCCGAACTCGGCGACTGCCTCGGGGAAAGGTGGAAAGAAGGTGAAGGGAAAAAAAAAAAGTTTGGGAACAGTGTTTGAATGGTTATAGAGTGTAATCAAGGCCAGCAGCTAGTTAATGTTCAGTTTTCTGAAGCACTTAACATTCTGACCTTAAAGAGACTTTGTCAAAGTTTAGGAACAAAGAATCTGTGCTGGTAAAGAAAAAAGGAATTTCAGCTATCACGCACTTCCTTCTTCAAAGGGTAGAAAACCTGAGGACAAAAGCCTCGGGCCTCTGATTGGGCCCCACCACTGCTAACTGTTGAGATGAAACCAAGCGGGCTCCTGTGTGTTAGGCAACTGGAAAACATCACGCTGTACGTCCTACAAATGTTCTACAAAATATTTCACAGCATCTTTTGTTTTTTTCTGTATTTCCCACTAGTAGATATTTGAGCTGCATGCCAGTTTACAAATTTTAACATTTCTGAAGTCACATCGTGCCATCAAATGAATTTCAGTTAGGAACCAAAAACTTGTCAAGTCGCTCGCCGCGTTCTCTCCCACTGAGAAAGTTCATTTTTGCTAATCACGTGCACAAATCAGCACAAAGATCAGGAATTCATTTTAACTTTAGCCTCATCTTGTGTTTGCAGTCTTAGCATCACTACACATGTGACATAGTACCACTTTAGTGCAGTTATTCTAGATTTTTAAACGTTTTAAATAATGTGAGATTTAAATCTAAATGCAGCCGTCACCTCACCAAAAACCAAGGCAAGCCGACTGATTGAAGACATTCACGATGTTAAGTGAAGCGTAGTGTTAGTTAAGTCTAGAGAGCCCACAATCCCACAGCACCAGCTGATCATAGTGTCGATATCATTAGTATCTGCCTTTAAAGCCGCTTCAGCTTTCCTGTTGTTTGTCACCTGCAAGCCACTTTGCAACCCAGCTCCTCTTGCATTATCACATGTGTTGACACTGATGAGACAAACTGGCAAACAGGAATACCTGACTGAACTATATTTGCTGTGATTATAGGCATAAGTATTGGTGCACCTGTAGGTTACACTTACAGGAGCTTCATTATAAATCATAGGCATTCATATGGGGTTGTTCGCTTTTTGCAGCTAGGTAGGCTTTCTGTAGGATTTTGGAGCGCGCTCGTGGAAATCTTTGTTCATTCATCCAGATGAGCATTTGTAAGGTTAGACAAGGAGGGGACCAGTCAAGTTCCTCCATAACACACTTTTAACCTAGCTTTAATGGACCTTGTTTTGCGCACTGGGGTGCATCATGCTGGAACTGAAAAGGGCCTTATGCAAACTGTTCCCGCACAGCTGGAAGCGTAGTTGTCTAAAATGTCACGGTAAACTGAAGCATCAAGGTTTCCTTTCGCTAGAATTAAAGGGTCCAGGTCAACCCTTGAAAAACAACCCCGTGGTCACCAAACGCAGATTGGTCCATCGGACCAGCAGATAGAGAAAGATGATTCGTCACGCCACAGAACATGCCTCCTCTGCTCCAGAGCCCATTGATGGCAGGCTTTACACCACTCCATGTGATGTTTGGCATTGTGCTTAGCGATGCAAGGCTTGCATGTAACTGCTCACCCGCGGAGAGTCATACCATGAAGCTCCCGTGCTCCTAGTTTTTGTGCTGATGTTGATGCCAGAGGAGGTTTGGAGCTCTGACGTTGTTCAGTTAGCAGTTGGCGACCGTGTTATCTAACTTTACATGGTCTACCGCTTCATTGCTGAGTTGCTGTGGTTCCTAAATGCTCTGCAGCAATTCCTCCTTCACTAACTGACTAACTGGGATCCAAGTAAAGTGCCAAACTTGATCTCATTCTTTTTAAAATGTCCATAAAGGCAGGTGATGATTAAATATACCTGTGGCAATGGGAGTGGAAACATCTGGAATCAAAGATTAAGAGGTGTGGCCCAACGCTTACATTTATACTGTATCTATGTAATAAATAAAAGTGTCAGATTTCACTGTGATACTGTATGTTAGCAGTTAAAACTTGCCGGTTTGTGTTTCAGTCCATTGACATCTCCTGTGTGCTGCTTCAGATGTGTCTGCATGCTGTTGACCACAGTGGTTAAGGGAATTTCAGACGTTTGTCCATCTAAACACCAGCTGGTCTGAGTTTGACTGACTCAGACCCTCAGCAGAACATCAAACATCGGAGTATCTCACTACTTGGCTCCGTTTCACATGAACAGATCAAGGCTACCACAATGTTTTCATTCCAGTGGAAATGTCACCTCATTTCAAAGAGAACTTCTGTTTTATTTATAGCTATCACCCTTTTAGTTTCGACTGCCTAATATGGACCTGGAAAAGCTCTAACCAAGCTAGCAAAAAGCAAATACCTCTTGCCTGCCAGAGGTATAGCGCACAAGTAGTTGTTTTGCAGGAGAAAATGTGGAATTTTGACATGAAAATACGTATAAGTGTGAATACCTGAGGCAATATTACATTTTTTTCTGTATCTGGGCAATTTCTGTGCAAACCATTGTGTTTCGAGCTGTGCTGAGAGCCGTATAAAGCACAAACCTGTGCACAGAAACCACTGCTTTGTGACAAATATTGTTGGTTTTTTGGTGCATTGATGGCTTGCAGATTGAAGTAATGATCAGGTGAGTGAGAAATTGGTCAGGATAAAGTTGTTCACTCCATATTTGGAGATAAAAAAAAAAAAGATTTTATCTGCACTTCTTCTGTTGCAGAACAAATTTGATATCTTTTGCCCTTCCTCTCCTGTTGTGATAAGAGCTGTTCTCTACATTCATAATGGATTTGTTACTTTAGGAGATGTTATGAGGGCTCTTTAAAAAAGAAACAAGAATAATTCACATCCCAACAAAGCCTGAAAGCCTTAAGTAGATATCTGGATTGTATATTGTAATATTGCACGGCTTCCTGAAATTAGATTCTTGTTAAAATGAGGAGTTTTGTGCTTTACTAGCTAAGAAAAAGCTAAATAGTGTAGAGTGTAGCAATGAGCAATTCCAGCTTTCTCCTGCAGTCCAACGACATGCAGGAAGTTGAATCGGGTGTAACTGGTGTTCCTAAATTGTCCAAAGGTGTGAATGTGAATGGTTGTCTGCGTCTCTGTGCTCGCCCTGCCACAGGCTGCCGATCTGTTTGGGGTGTCAGACGCCGCTCGCCCTATAGTAGCCCTCCCGCAACCTTGAATTGGTTGATGGATGATTATAAAACTGATGTCCAATTCCTTCCCTGACTTTTCCACATTTATCTAAAATATTTTTAGCACGCTGTCCTGAGAGTATTGTTGAAGGAAAGATAGTAACAGGAAGAAAATCTGGTGTTTATAAACTGGAGAAATCAAGTGTTCTAGTGTCAGAAGAAAGAAGACTTTAGCTCCTTTTATGAAAGAAATCTTATATGGAAGCAAACTGCCTAATTGATGGCTACTATACTGGCATCTAATTTAACCATAATGCTATTCAAAAGGAAGCATCCATCTAGCCACGAGGAGTGCCTCTTGCTCATGACTCTGTGTCAGGAATATTGAAAATATTGATGGTGGCCCCCTCTCGGCTGAGCTGTAAGTTGGCTGCATGCTTCCTTCGGTTGCCAAGTGTAGTCTGGTTAAAACGAAAAGGTTCCTACACAAAACGCAGCACAACAACAAGGTTTGTGGATTTCATTTGAAGGATCTGATCACGATTTCTGGAAGCAGACATCATTGCGGGGTTTTTTAAATGGCACACAGCACGAGCCGTTTAGCTGCTATAGATTGATGGAAAGGCAGACATCTCTCGAGCCAATATATCTAAAAGTAGTGATGCGAAAACAATCGAGATGACTAAATAGCATTACAGTTTAGTTGTTGTATCCCTTATAGACATCCCTTATATGGGATGTCTAGGTTTGCTTTATTTAGCCAGCACAACTATTACTCGTGAATATTTGCAGGTGCTTAAACGACCTCACACAAACTTGAAAATGGCATCGAAGAAGAAAAGAGTCATTTAAAAGGACTCTTTGATGCAATTCTTTGGTACCAAATAATACCCTCGCATTTTGACTCTGTGCACTCTGTAGAGCTGCGGTTTGAATTTCCTCTCAGTTGTATTTAAGCTCCTTGCTTGCGCGTTAACCTTTCCATTCATCTGAGCTAGCGTCGCTCACGCTGACACCCTTTTATGTTCGTCCAACGACTCTCTCGCGATGGAGGAAACGACCTAGCGCTGTTCAAAACAGAAAAATTACTAGTTCATTAACTGTTTGGCAGCGGGAGCACTTTGTAAACTCGATAACGCTCTCAAAACTAGCAGCTGTGATGCCTCGTCTAATTACGTTTGACCTCATCCGCTGTTATTCTCAGCCTATTACAGAACCGGGACTGGACTGCAGGAATCGCTAGCATCTTCCTCCGGGGCTCTGCTTGTTGTTTGTAGTAGTATGGCTGGTGCCACA